CATCAATCTATCATCATTCAACCTTGTATGAACATCTATCTATCATCATTCAGCCTTGTATGAACATCTATCTATCATCATTCAGCCTTGTATAAACATCAATCTATCATCATTCAGCCTTGTAGGAACATCAATCTATCATCATTCAGCCTTGTATGAACATCAATCTATCATCATTCAGCCTTGTAGGAACATCAATCTATCATCATTCAGCCTTGTATGAACATCAATCTATCATCATTCAGCCTTGTGTGAACATCTATCTATCATCATTCAGGCTTGCATGAACATCAATCTATCATCATTCAGCCTTGTATGAACATCTATCTATTACATTCAGCCTTGTGTGAACATCAATCTATCATCATTCAGCCTTGTATGAACATCAATCTATCATCATTCAACCTTGTATGAACATCTATCTATCATCATTCAGCCTTGTATGAACATCTATCTATCATCATTCAGCCTTGTATGAACATCAATCTATCATCATTCAGCCTTGTAGGAACATCAATCTATCATCATTCAGCCTTGTATGAACATCAATCTATCATCATTCAGCCTTGTGTGAACATCTATCTATCATCATTCAGGCTTGCATGAACATCAATCTATCATCATTCAGCCTTGTATGAACATCTATCTATTACATTCAGCCTTGTGTGAACATCAATCTATCATCATTCAGCCTTGTATGAACATCAATCTATCATCATTCAACCTTGTATGAACATCTATCTATCATCATTCAGCCTTGTATGAACATCTATCTATCATCATTCAGCCTTGTATGAACATCAATCTATCATCATTCAGCCTTGTATGAACATCAATCTATCATCATTCAGCCTTGTGTGAACATCTATCTATCATCATTCAGCCTTGTATGAACATCTATCTATCATCATTCAGCCTTGTATGAACATCAATCTATCATCATTCAGCCTTATATGAACATCTATCTATTACATTCAGCCTTGTATGAACATCAATCTATCATCATTCAGCCTTGTATGAACATCAATCTATCATCATTCAACCTTGTATGAACATCTATCTATCATCATTCAGCCTTGTATGAACATCTATCTATCATCATTCAGCCTTGTAGGAACATCAATCTATCATCATTCAGCCTTGTATGAACATCAATCTCTCATCATTCAGCCTTCTGTGAACATCTATCTATCATCATTCAGCCTTGCATGAACATCTATCTATCATCATTCAGCCTTGTATGAACATCTATCTATCATCATTCAGCCTTGTGTGAACATCAATCTATCATCATTCAGCCTTGTATGAACATCTATCTATCATCATTCAGCCTTGTATGAACATCTATCTATCATCATTCAACCTTGTATGAACATCTATCTATCATCATTAAGCCTTGTGTGAACATCAATCTATCATCATTCAGCCTTGTATGAACATCTATCTATCATCATTCAGCCTTGTGTGAACATCAATCTATCATCATTCAGCCTTGTATGAACATCTATCTATCATCATTCAGCCTTGTGTGAACATCAATCTATCATCATTCAGCCTTGTACGAACATCTATCTATCATCATTCAGCCTTGTACATACATCAATTATCCACATGTTTATGAGCCTCCTACTTCACATTTCTGTACATCACTTGCTTGATAACAGTGTCTACACTGCACTAAACGCCACATTAATTTGTAATAAAGAAGTTGTATATCCATAGAACTATCTCTCTTGTACTATCATATATGTCTATTTCATATAGTTCAACAACATGTTACCGTTCTTGGAAGCTATAGCCTTCGACTAGCCTGATTTGATCTTTTAAATAATATTCTTTCATCTTGAAACTAGACTTGGCAATACAGGTACCACAAGTCAAGGAAGCTTTTCAGGCATTGAAGGAATCAGACACCACCTAAGGTTTGTATTCCCCAATCTTCCTGGACACCTTGGACATACGCATGATCATCCATCTTAAAATGCACAAGAAGAAACTACGGAACTAGGAGATTGGTTAATCCGTTTGGACGCACAGGACGCCAACTTGCACGTCCCCATCCACCCGTGTTGTTTGACATTACTTTCGTTTTGCAGTCAACGTTCAAAGGTTACTTCAACGTACAACAAACCATTCGGCATATCAATAGCTCCATGTTTGCATAAAGTGGAACCTGATCTCAGATGACAGGTGACACGTGTGACATTGTGGAACCTGATCTCAGATGGAGTGTATGAGTGGGTGACACGTGTCACATTGTGGAACCTGATCTCAGATGGAGTGTATGAGTGGGTGACACGTGTTACAATGTGGAATCTGATCTCAGGTTGAGTGTATGAGTGGGTGACACGTGTTAGAATGTGGAACCTGATCTCAGAAGGAGTATATGAGTGGGTGACACGTGTTACAATGTGGAATCTGATCTCAGGTTGTGTGTATGAGTGGGTGACACGTGTTACAATGTGGAATCTGATCTCAGGTTGAGTATATGAGTGGGTGACACGTGTTACAATGTGGAATCTGATCTCAGGTTGAGTGTATGAGTGGGTGACACGTGTTACAATGTGGAATCTGATCTCAGGTTGAGTGTATGAGTGGGTGACACGTGTCACAATGTGGAATCTGATCTCAGGTTGAGTGTATGAGTGGGTGACACGTGTTACAATGTGGAATCTGATCTCAGGTTGAGTGTATGAGTGGGTGACACGTGTCACAATGTGGAATCTGATCTCAGGTTGAGTGTATGAGTGGGTGACATGTGTTACAAAGTGGAATCTGATCTCAGGTTGAGTGTATGAGTGGGTGACACGTGTTACAATGTGGAATCTGATCTCAGGTTGGGTGTATGAGTGGGTGACACGTGTTACATTGTGGAATCTGATCTCAGGACGAGTGTATGAGTGGGTGACACGTGTTACAATGTGGAACCTGATCTCAGGTTGAGTGTATGAGTGGGTGACACGTGTTACATTGTGGAATCTGATCTCAGGTTGAGTGTATGAGTGGGTGACATGTGTTACAATGTGGAATCTGATCTCAGGTTGAGTGTATGAGTGGGTGACACGTGTTACATTGTGGAATCTGATCTCAGGTTGAGTGTATGAGTGGGTGACACGTGTTACAATGTGGAATCTGATCTCAGGTTGAGTGTATGAGTGGGTGACACGTGTTATAATGTGGAATCTGATCTCAGGTTGAGTGTATGAGTGGGTGACACGTGTTACAATGTGGAACCTGATCTCAGGTTGAGTGTATGAGTGGGTGACACGTGTTACAATGTGGAATCTGATCTCAGGTTGAGTGTATGAGTGGGTGACACGTGTTACAATGTGGAACCTGATCTCAGGTTGAGTGTATGAGTGGGTGACATGTGTTACAATGTGGAATCTGATCTCAGGTTGAGTGTATGAGTGGGTGACACGTGTTACAATGTGGAATCTGATCTCAGGTTGAGTGTATGAGTGGGTGACACGTGTTACAATGTGGAACCTGATCTCAGGTTGAGTGTATGAGTGGGTGACATGTGTTACAATGTGGAATCTGATCTCAGGTTGAGTGTATGAGTGGGTGACACGTGTTACAATGTGGAATCTGATCTCAGGTTGAGTGTATGAGTGGGTGACACGTGTTACATTGTGGAACCTGATCTCAGGTCGAGTGTATGAGTGGGTGACACGTGTTACATTGTGGAATCTGATCTCAGGTTGAGAGTATGAGTGGGTGACACGTGTTACAATGTGGAATCTGATCTCAGGTTGAGTGTATGAGCGGGTGACACGTGTTACATTGTGGAACCTGATCTCAGGTTGAGTGTATGAGTGGGTGACATGTGTTACAATGTGGAATCTGATCTCAGGTTGAGTGTATGAGTGGGTGACACGTGTTACATTGTGGAATCTGATCTCAGGTTGAGTGTATGAGTGGGTGACACGTGTTACATTGTGGAATCTGATCTCAGGTTGAGAGTATGAGTGGGTGACACGTGTTATAATGTGGAATCTGATCTCAGGTTGAGTGTATGAGTGGGTGACACGTGTTATAATGTGGAATCTGATCTCAGGTTGAGAGTATGAGTGGGTGACACGTGTTATAATGTGGAATCTGATCTCAGGTTGAGTGTATGAGTGGGTGACACGTGTTACAATGTGGAATCTGATCTCAGGTTGAGTGTATGAGTGGGCAACATGTGGCTCACTCCATGTCATTGCGATGAACGGCTCAAATTTTGTAATCGGCATTGTGTATGTTTACGGAGGAGTTAACGTCATGAACGTTACGTCCCTAACTGTGTACAGCAGACGAATCGATGTGGCTGTACCCATGATAATGCCTGTGCAAGTCTTGTGCACATTGGAGGTACTTGACTGGAGGCCGCTACAGAGACGCAGTGTCAGATTGCCATGTCATACTGTTTCTGAACGAGGAGGACTTTGCCATCAAAGAGAGTCCCGAAGGGTGTCAAAACATTCCGCAGACACTATGACGAATCTGATTGGTCTATGGGTAGATGTTGCTAGAATGTGCCAGACTGTGAACTATGTTCGTGGTGGACACACTGGTCTGGGGTAACTGTATTTGCTGTGATATGCAACTTGTATTTGAGTTTCCTTGATTTTACACATAACTCCTGAGTTTTTGGATCTTACATGCTTTGAATGTGACCCTCTCATATGCCAGGGTTGTGTACTATAACGGGATCGGGTGGTCAGGCTCTCTGACTTGGTTGATGCATGTCATCGTATCACAATTTCGATTATTTACAGACCGCCGTCATATAGCTGGAGTATTGCTGAGTGCGGCTTTAAATTACAAACAAACAAACAAACAAACAAACAAACAAACTGAAACATGCATTCTACAGTAGACAATACTCTATGCAATACCCTTTTTTCTCCTTGTGTCCGTTCTTTACAAATCAATAGTATTCTCATTATTCATCAGTGTCGTTTGTTGCAAATTGCAATACTTGCGTCTTGGGCCATGAAATAAGGAAAGTGCAGTTCTATATTTGCTGTTTATTCCGATCATCTGTATGATGTAGTCTGTTGGGTGTGTGAGAACGGGACGACATAAATACAATATTCATTAAAATTCAAGACACCATGTCCTAATAACAAACCTTGATGTCACCACATGTGGTACAACGGCTTCTGAGATTTATGATCTTTATCTTGCCAACACTATGGACAATGGCAAAACATTAGTGGAGGCTATGATAGCTTACAGAAGCTTCAAAAGGCACAGTAGATGAAAGGATCACACATACTTTACGAACCATTGCCATTGTAACGGGGATCTTATACGCCAGTGAGTACAAACGTCCCCCCAAGACGACATGTATGGAGTTTTGTCCACCTGCAGCCAGTGGGTGGAATGTGGTCTAATGTTATGATGTTAGAGTTCACTGGATTTACATTTAGTTATGAAAGCTGCAACTGCTTTAACGTCCGATCAGAACGACGTTACACAATACATGACACATATGTTTAAGTGATATTTTACACATTATATATATATTTAAGTTTATCATTTATGTCTCATTGACGTCTGCCGATGTAGCGTTCAAAGTCGGCTCAACCATGAGGTTCCTCGGATCCTTTCCGTCCTTGAAAATTTTCATTGAGAAGTCGGCCGTGGTGTAGCCCTGCACAAGTCCACTGACTGATATGACGTCCACGTTGACGTCGCAATAGCTACGCACACTTGTCTGAGTTATGCCCCCACTAGCTTCAAGGATCAACTCGGGGAATTCCTTCTTGAGGACCACAGCAGTTTGGGATAGAGCCTGCAATACAACACATTACACCATTGTTACAGAGTGTATTTCAAAGCGTATTTTACGACCTTTTAGTAAGTGTAATAAAAAGGTGTCTAACGCGTACGCGTGTAGTCATTTATTTACAATCCAAAACTGACTCCCACGGGAGATATTGCTTAGGTGAGATCAAGCGATATCCACATTGAAGATAGTGCTGCAATGAATTGCATCACAATGCTTTGCAGACCATTGTGACATCATTTGTAAACATGATGTCACAATCAAATGACATCACTAATGGCGCTGCTACTGAAGCTGTTAGCTGTACTTCTTACACGCAAGACACTGCTTATAACTAACTGTCTACAAACAGAAAACGTTTGAAGAATGATATTGGATGATAAATAAAATCTCACCCTCGTGTCTTTTAATATCAAATATATTAACACTCGTTGATAATACTCGTGTTGACATATTGATATTTAAAGACACTCGGGTGAGATTCTCTATTTAGCACCCAGTTAAACTTTGCGCATTATCGAAATCCATCGTTGAAAAAGACGTTGTTGGTATGACGGGGGCTTATGAATACAACATTTGTCGCTGATAACTTGACCATAGACAGTTCTCTCCTGGTAATGAAGTGAGCAGCTTTTTCCGAGATCAATAAACAATAAGATGCTACACATAACATGTTTTACACAAACATCACGTTCTTGAAACATCTGCGTTCGACGGAACATCTAGCTTGAAGCACGGTTTAGTGTAGGTAAAGCGAGCCCACGAGACGTCGATTCCCAGTGAGTACTTAAGGTGTACTAAACGTGTACTATTCGTGTACTAAAGGGAGAGTTATAAATGAACATGGAAAACATTCGGTAAACTGATCCATGCAATAAACAATGGAATGACGCCACAGATGTGTTTAAGACATTGTTACAGGAGAAAATGATGTTACGAATTCATCACTGTTTCTAATTTGCTTCCAAATAACATACACATGAGATAAACTAGAATCAAATGGGTCCCCCATCGATGATAGGATATAGATGATGTTATCAGTGCCTCATTGTTCCAGAGGTTAGGTGATGTTATAGTGCTAGCCCACTGAGATAACAAGAACCATCTTTATACGTCTTTTGGTGTGACGCGGCCGATTGAACCCCGGACTTTCCGCTCTCCGAGCGGACACTCGGAGGCGGTCTAATTATTCCAGACACGACTGTGGCTGAGGATAATATAGTAGTGTTGAGGTATTCCACGGAAATAACTACTGCTCGAAAATATCACTTATTTATCGTGTTATGGGGAACCTCTATGAATCGACATTTTAAGCCTCAGATCACTTCTAACCGCCTCAGATCGATTTGGTTCGCCATCAGCGTTGATATATGTTGAAACTGTCGGGGAAAAAGAAAGTATACACCTTTGTTTGATGGTGGCAAACATGAAACGAACAAGAAATAGTTTATTCGACGGCGATGTATTTGAAAACAGTATCCTAGTTTTGCTTTGGGCCTTACGTTTGCAGTGTTGCGGCGACAGTTTTCAGCCTGGCAACGTTTTGATAACATTTGTAATTATTTGGTCAAATCCAGTTTTCAAGTGTACATTTTCTTTTGCCTTGCAGTTTATACAAAATAAATTCAGTTCAAATACTTCAATATCCGTCTACTTTAATAATCTGACATTAGTTCGAGAAATAGTCTCCTGGACTTCAATCATTTTAACATGGAGTGACTTAGATAATTCTGTCATGTCTACTAAATAAATCAGGATTTGTTTTTCTGTCATCTGCAAACAAGATGAAAGAACATCTATTCATAGTCGTATGACTTTGACTTTAAGATTTATGATCCCAAATTGCGTGCTTCATACACACAAAGGTAACCCAGATGCTATCAATGTTTGGTACCTTTGGTGAGAAGTTGTCCAACATGACCACGTGACACCCTGCACGTGCAGCTTCTCTTGCCTCCTCCAGACTCCGACACTCGACTTCTATCTTTGAGGAGAAGCCACTTACAACGCGCACGTCCTTTACTGCCTGTAACACAGAACGAACAGCCAGACACAATCATGCACACCCTTTTTTAATGTCCCACAGCTGACCTTACAACTATCCGGCTGTTGGGGAACATGACCAATGAAAGGCAATCAACAGAAGGTTCTATGCCTGTAGCTACCTTAAACAGGTTTAATAACCCTTACCCCCATTTTCAGTCAACTACATTATTCATTATTTCTAGGTGAAAACATGGATATCAGCTCATGTCATACAAACACAGAGGGGGGGGGGGGGGGGGGGGGGGGGGGGGGGGTGATCAGAACACAGAGGTGGAGAACTACCCCAAGAATGACCATTCCTGTGATCTAGCTTGACCTGTAGAGAAAGTTGTTGAAAACCTTCAACTAAAACTCCAATGCCATATCCTAATTAGGATGATATGTACCAAATTCTATCCGACCATGTACAACAAACACTTCTTACGTTATTGTGGGCATACATGCTGACAAAACCTTACATGGAGGAGGTGGAGGTGGCTGCTTACTTAAGATTACCTGTTCTATACTGCCTGCTGTCCATATGTGGTTGTCCTTCAGCATCACCATCGACGACAAATCATATCTGTGTGTGGCCACACCTCCAACGAGCAGAGCATACTTCTCCACCATACGGAAGCCAGGAGTTGTCTTCCTTGTTCCCGCTAGCTCTCCTTTCCAAGCTACAGACTCAGTCAGCTGTTTCAATTTTCTAGCATTTGTAGCTATACCAGTGGCCCTTGAGAGGCAATTGAGGACCACTCTCTCTCCAAGTAGTAGATGTCGGACTTTGCCAATAACGTTCGCCACTGTGTGGATAGGCTCCAATAACTGTCCCTCGTCAACGAGCCATTCAACTGTACAGTCTAGTTCCCGAAACACAGCGTCAACAAACGGCTTACCCGCGAGGACCGCTCGGCTCTTCAGGAGCAACACCGCACGTTCCTCCTTCTCCCCGACGACGAAGCCTGCATAGTCAAAACTCGGCGTGTCTTCCTTCAGCCACTCCCGGGCAAGGTGCCGCAGATTGGTCGGGGAGAGGATGTGCGAGTATCTGTTACAATCTATGTTATCTAACGTAGTTCTCACGGACATGACACTGCGAGCACCTGGCCTCTACCCCGACAGGTTAGAAGTGGGACACTGGCTTGGGCCGAGTTGAGATCTTCTGCCTTGAGGCTCTACACGGGGAGGTCACAACTGATTGTCGTAGTATGTCCCTGTGACATTATTGGCAGTTGGTCTGAAACAGTAGTGCTCAGCTCAGACTTGAACTCGCATTGCCATCCGTCTTTGTACGGCGTGCGTCATCCGTCATGCGAAATCTATTGACAATCCAATTCGATTAATTTAAAAAATATGTGGAAATAAAGCATTTATAGCTCACCTGGTACGAAGTTCCGCGGTAAGCTTATGTCGTGGTGCTGCATCCGTCGTATGTCATCAACACTTACTTAAAAAAATATCTCCTCTTATCCTACCCGGTAAGTTTCAACCAAACTTGGCAGGAAGCTTCCACAAGGAGAGAGGAATCAAAACGCTGCAAATGGAGTGCCTGGGTGGGCCTAATAGAGTTCAATGACTACAATGTATTTAAATAACATTTCTTCTGATATATACTTTCTATTGTAATAATATTTGACACGGTGCTTGTGAAACCGACTGGGTGATTTTTTTTAAAACAAAGATCATTGCATTCGAATTCCTCTCGTTTTTAATATCATATGAATCTGGTGTGTCCGTAACTGTTATAAGCATCTGCTTGATGTGCATTTACACTCAATTGATAAACTAGTGAAATTCTCGGGTAAAAGTGCAGTATGTCTACAATATTGAGTGAAACTATGTCCATTTTAATTGAAATCTGACTTTGGGGATGGGTTGGTGTCGCTAGAGAAATTAGCTTTCAATATACCATTTGTTTTATTGTTAGGGATCAGTTTACCATAAAAGTCAGTGAATAACATACATCATTGAAAAGACTATGTAAAACGCTTTCATATGATATATTACATGACCATGTTGACGAACTATAACAAATTTTGATTTTGAAAACAGGTCAAAATGGCTGCCATCTTGAAATTCAAGATGGCCACCATAGATGATCATGGAAAAACTTGAAACATCATTTTTTTTATGATTTTATTATTTTGTATTTTTAAACATTGTTGCAATTATTCCACTCATCCACTTCATAAGCATAATCTACCATCATATATCAATAAGCAATTGTCGTAAAAATTGTTTTGGGGGGGGGGGCTGGGGTAACATTGTATACAATACCTAAGCCCCTTTAAAATATATTTTCATTTTGTTTTCTGTATAGGATAGCACAATGGTTAAGGCAGATTTTGATATGCAGCTATAGTGGTTTTATTGCCACAATTTAATGGAATTAGTGATTTACCTCTCACAAGATTTGAAAAAGAAGGAAAAAAAACATGATTTTTATCAATGTTTTCACTGAGAATTAGAATAACTGTTAAATGAAACGAATTGTTTGCCAAATTCATATAACCGAACATATTACATGTAATCAAAGGCTTAATTTGGATAGTTAATGACTTAAAAAATTACGCACTTTTCCTTCAATTTATGCAATTATGACCCCGTAAAAAGTCACGCACACACTTGCAAGTTTACTACCAAATGCAAATTGTGTACAGATACCTTCTTTATGCAATAGAAAATGTTTAAGGTATACAGGAAAATGTGGGAACGAAAATATAAACCGAGCCTCTTTTCCGCTGGTTGCCAACTGACTATTATCGTTGCTATGGTATTAGAGAGGCAATATAAAAATGAATAGTCATTTGCACATCTAGACAAAGTAACGATCAATGAAATCTTGCGAAGTTTTATGAATATCCGATCAGTATTATTTTATAGTGATAACTCTAAATGTAAAAATGATATTACCTGCATTAGTAATTTTTACATAAAGGGTTGTAACAAGAGTTAACCCGCAACCCTTAATGTAAAGTTTTTTTACATTAAGAGTACTTTTTACATTAAGGGTTAGTAACACAGCACTCCATTTCTTGCCGTAAGAGGCGTGATATCCGAAGATATTGAAATACAAGTGATTTACCTAATTCAAGATTCTATATTGCATACTTAATAATATATTTATGTTTAATAAATTGTACATTAAATAATACCCCACTGTTTAGATGACAATGTGGTAGAACGTGTATCACATACACTAGATTTTGACCAGATGACAATGATATTGTTATTTAGATAACTACGGCACGAGAATGGTTCTGAATTGTGTATAATATACACATGCACAAAAGTTAAGCGCCTCCTACCATATTTGTGAGCTGTTACTTTTGGCACTTAATGATGACTTTTATAACGAGATGTACAATTGTAATAAGCCGTATATGTAAACCTCATGTGATGCAAAAGTTGTCCCAAAGCAAGTTTATCTTGTGTTCCAAAAGAATATGAGCAGAAAGGAATTTTACCGATGACCAGAAATTGAAGGATCAGAAAAACATTGAAAAACTTTTTTGGTCATGTAACTGTCATGATATCAGCAGACCATATCAGGTGTCACATAGACACCCTAGGGAGTGCAGAGTCTATTGCAAGACAGAAACGTCAGTCACATGTGTATGATCCACGGACATTGACCACAGCTTCAACCCCACGCCTCATACTCATTACGAGTCGTTGAATGCTTCTCTGAGGCAAACGGATCCATTCTTCATGAAGTGCGGCTTCAAGTCCAGCGAGATTTTGAACTGGGGGATCACGATGTCTGATTTTCCGGCCAAGAATGTCCCAGAGATGCTCAATCGGATTAAGATCCGGACTACAGGCCGGCCAAGGAAGAGAGGCAATAGGTTCTTGACGCAAATAAGCCAAAGCTGCCCGAGATCTGTGTGGTCTAGCATTGTCGTCCATGTAAACAGGTCTTGTGTGAAGAGGATGGTAGTCAAAAAGAGGGACTACCACTACGAGTGTTACGTTGCCTCCAAACACGTATTCGACCATCAACAGTTCGTAGCAGCATTCGACACTCGTCAGACCAATGGATACTTCTCCAGTTGGCCAAGTTCCATCGACTACGGGCACGACACCATATCAGTCAGTTGAGGACGTTTTACTGGTCTTCTGGCGTTATAACCAGCCGCTCTGAGGCGACGCCTTACGGTCATCGTCAAGAGTCTCTGATGGGTAATCCACTGCAGTCTTAAATCTGTTGAAGTGGCAAATGGATTTCGTCTGATTATCCTGAACAGACGTCTATCCTCTCTGTTAGAGGTCTTTCTTGGCCTACCAGACCTATGCCTGTCATTGACATCATTGGTTTGACCATGTTTGACAATCAAACGAGTGATAACACTGTGATGACGACCCATTTGTCTTGCAATGGCCCTGCATGACATGTCAGCATTTTTCACGCCTATCACTTGCCATCTGTCAGTGTTCGTTAACTTTCTCCTCACCATGGCTGATTTTCAACCTCTATTGGAAGGGGAATCTCACACAGGAGCAAAATGCAACCACGTGTCTGAAACTTGAATTTCACTATTCATAGGGTAGGGGAACTGCAGGAACACGTAAAGCACGCTTTCCTTGTGGTATCTGGACAAATTTTGGTTCATGAAACTATGGAAGCCTAGTTCAGTCATACATCATCATATTTCGTATCTCTCATTCCCACACGTAAAATCAAGAGACTATGAATATGGTTGCGCTTAACTTTTGTGCATGTATATATTAGACTGAGACGTATTTTACGTCATTCTTGCTGTAATTGTGAACATTTACATTCGTTTTGTTTGTTGTTTAACGCCGCACCCAGCAATATTCCAGCTATATGGCAGCGGTCTGTAAATAATCGAGTCTGGACTAGATAATCCAGTAATTGACATCATGAGCATCGATCCACGCAACTGGAAAACGACGACATACATGAACCAATCAGCGAGCCTGACCACCGGATCCCGTTAGTCGCCTCTTACGGCAAGAATGGATTGCTGAAGACCTGTTCTACCCCACATTTACAGTCACGGCACTCAGGCGTTACTGGTGTATTTACATACACAGACTTGTTGATGACGTGTGTGTGATAAACAGCTCAAAGTTGATTGTTCATGACGTGCGTGATAAACAACTCAGAATTTATTCTTGATGACGTGTGTGATAAACAACTCCGAGTTTATTGTTGATGACATGTGTGATAAACAACTCCGAGTTTATTGTTGATGACATGTCGGGTAAACAACTCCGAGTTTTATGTGGATGACGCTGTGTGATAAACAACTCCGAGTTTATTGTTGATGACATGTCGGGTAAACAACTCCGAGATTTATCGTGATGACGCTGTGTGATAAACAACTCCGAGTTTATTGTTGATGACATGTCGGGTAAACAACTCCGAGATTTATCGTGATGACGCTGTGTGATAAACAACTCCGAGTTTATTGTTAACGACGTGTGGGATAAACAACTCTGAGTTTTATGTTGATGACGCTGTGTGATAAACAAATCCGAATTTATTGTTGATGACGTGTGGGGTAAACAACTCCGAGATTTATCGTGATGACGCTGTGTGATAAACAACTCCGAGTTTATTGTTGATGACGTGTGGGGTAAACAACTCTAAGTTTTATGTTGATGACGCGGTGTGATAAACAACTCCGAGTTAATTGTTGATGACGTGTGGGATAAACAACTCTAAGTTTTATGTTGATGACGCTGTGATAAACAACTCCGAGTTAATTGTTGATGACATGTCGGGTAAACAACTCTAAGTTTTATGTTGATGACGCTGTGTGATAAACAACTCCGAGTTTATTGTTGATGACATGTGGGATAAACAACTCTAAGTTTTATGTTGATGACGCGGTGTGATAAACAACTCCGAGTTTATTGTTGATGACATGTCGGGTAAACAACTCCAAGTTTATTGTTTACTCTGCCACTGGGCTTCGGAGCAGTCACATACAGTAGACCTGCATCTCTCCGGAGATTAGTCAACAGCAAAAGCAGTGGAAACATTTAATGTCATTGTTCCATCAGCTGGCAAGGTGATGGCTCTGGGTTTGGGGGATTCCAAACGAATCTTACTGGGGACGACGTACCGAAAGGTAAGACCATAAATGGGCAAGACTATCCTGATCAGCTTAGGCAACTGCGTGAGAATACCAAGGCTACCGTCGTGGAA